AGGAAAGAATGATTGTGTTTTTTATAAAATTATAAAATAAGATTCACATTTATGCTACACATTCTCACTTCCAATGTAAATGTTTTATCAAACAGTATGCTACCAATGCAGAGTCTATCTTTAAAGCTGAAGTGTAATTTCAAAATCAAGGATTGGAATCAAATACATTTCATGAACTTTTCTTGTCTGACAAACAGATTCAAACAGGACAAAAAGAATTTTAACATGAAAAAATGGCATTCTTCAGCTTTAAAACACATTTTTGCATGGCATGAACTGTTTGTAATAATTCTGATTCGCTTAGTCGACCTTTTTTGTAGTGCCGTGGGACTAACGCTATCTCACGACCAATTTGTACGAATTCGTACGAGTGATTAAAAGGTGGCTAATTCGTACTAATTCATACGACCTCACTCATACGAATTCGTACGATTTGTCTAAACCCACGTGATGGGTAGGTTTAGGGGCGGGGTCAGGGGTAGGTCATTCGTACGAATTCATACGAATTTGGTAACTCGTGAAATATGTACGAATTAGCAAAAATCTTACGAGTGAGGTCGTATGAATTAGTACGAATTAGCCACCTCGTAAAATTCATACGAATTGCCGTGAGATCGGGCTGGTGGGACTTATCAACAATTTAAACATGAAAACAAAATTATTTATTATAAGTTTGTCTTTAACCTCTGAGAAAATCAGAGAACAGGAGATATTTTAATGGTATATAGGCCACACACACACACACACACATTGTGTTTTTTTTATTACTTTTTTTTTTTATTACTTTTTTAGACATAATGATTTGTATACTGTACAAACTGTATATTCTAACCACTAAACCTACTCATGACAGAAAATGTCACACACACACGTGCACACGCTCACACACTTTTAATATAGCCTACTCCATCAATTCTCTGTGTGTTGTTTCTTTATGGCGGAGCAAGACTTTTAGACTGCTATGTCTAAAACCGCATCAAGACACTGGCTGGTTGCTTGCTGGCTTTCTACAAAAGTCTCACAATGTGCTTGTGTCTTTCAATGAGATTTTAAAGTTCAACCCAGGTGTCACTCAAACCTTGTGCAAGGTTCAATACAATTTAAGCTCTATGAGCACATATTGTGACATGCGGTGGATTACAGCTGACAATAATTTTAACTCGTTTGTCAGTTTGTAAAAACAAGCAAAGACTTTGCTTACACTAATACACTTGTCAGCGACAAGACACTCTACCAGGATAAACCATAGAACACAATGTTACAAAAGTGTAACCACACAACTTAAACATTAGGACCTGGTTTCACAGACAGGGCTTAGATTAAGGCAAGATTAAGCTTTAGTTCAATTAGGGCATTTAAGTAGCTTTTATAAACGTGCCTAAGGAAAAAACATTACTGGTGTGCATCTTAAGAAAAATCAATGGCACTGACATATTTTAAGAAATGTCAGTGCAAGTTGCTTTCAGATAATACAGCTCAAACATGCATTAGTCTAGGCTTAAGCCTTCTGTGTGAAACCAGGGGTAAATGTGTTAAGACTAATGTAATACAATCAATGCCTTTTTCCAACTTATAGTAAAAAGTTAACAGAGATGAGATATAAAGACGCAGATCTGAAAAATAAAGTCCCAGTCGTTAGATGTTACATTTACAATGACTTTTTCTTGTTTTTTTTTTACTCTGAAGCAGGAACAGGCTTCCATATACATATTGCCTACTAACCTTCTCAATGTCATGTCAAGTCACATTTATTTATATAGCACTTTATACAATAAAGCAGCTTCACACTAATAAACAGGAAAATCATGTTGATGGTGCAAAATTCATTATGAAACAAATTCACTTTTAGCTGTAAAACAGCTCTACAGAAGGCAATACTGTCAGTTTCAGTGTTGATTCAGTTTAGTTCAATAACTGTGTCAATGTTGCAGTTCATCAATTACGAAACGAGTTCAATTCAGCTATGCAAAGTTATATCCTACATTTACTTTATTTAACTTTCGACACCTTATAAATGACCAGTAACTCCTCTCATGAGCATACAAAACCAGTATTACCAGTATCCACCTCGATTGAAATCGCGTTCCAGGAGCGGGGCAGTCAGAGTACTGGCGACATGTGAGAAGTAAGGAAAGTGAGGGCTTGCAGCACGCTACAGATTCAAGTTTAGAAGGGCTGGTACTGTGTGCCAGTGCATGCCGGCCTCCTTTGAGCACTTACTCCCCAAATTTTGACTCCCCTGCTTCTGATTGGTTCATTCGGTGGGGAGGCTGCCCCCTGAGTGGTCCCTATCACTAAAGCCCACCGCCCATACCTAATCCTAATCCTACTCTCATAGGAAAATGCAGGGGAGTCGGAATCTCACGGGGAGTCGGAATTTGATACCACACCGGAACTTTCTTTTAAACTGTGGGAGCACAAGTGTTCATAAGGAAGACGGCTAACATTCACAGCACTTCCTAATGATCAGACTAGTAGGAGAGCAGGCCGAAATACACTTTCACTCTAAGAGTCTCGGACACAGGTAAGTGGTTTTATTCTGAGTTGTGGCATTGAAGCTGAGAGAGAGCGTATCCGGGGCACCTTTCTCCAATGTTCCTTAGTTTCATGGAATCCCGGGTTAAAAATATGTAATGGCAGGAGCGTGCGGGTGATTTCAGGCTTCGCTGTTTTACAACTAGCCAATGAATGTACTTTGACATCCCCTGGGAAAATTCTTGCTGGTTGCCTTCACAAAGCGCAGAGGAAAATGGCTCCATTTTTCCCTTTTCTCCACGAGCGGCGTTTCTCTCGCTCTTCGGTTTTTATGAGGTGGGGTGAGAGAGTAACGGAACTGCAGGCATTTAAGGAGTGAGGCGGAATGCCATGCAAACATGTCAGCAGTGAAAAGATGGGGGTGAAAAGTACCACTGCACAAAGAAGATGGAGATGATACACAGAGAGATGGAAGACTGCACTCTCAGTCAAGTGCTCAGTTAGTAAATATTTCAAAACCGCAGTCAAAAGAATGATGTTTTTTTTTTTTTTTTAGTGGGGTCTGGATGGCATCTTAGAGATATTTTAAGACAGCAGAGAAGATGGATGACAAACAAAGGAAATGTCAGAAGACACCGTGTAAAGTAATCTTAAAGGGATAGTTTAAGGGACAGAAAGATGTACGATAGCAGAACAAAATTGAAGTCATAATGAATTGAGGTAAATAGAACTGAATTACCTGATTCCCTTATGAATCAGACATCCCGTTTCCCTCAAGAACTGTGTCTAGGAGAACTAAACTGGATGTCAAATTGTTTTGGGATCTTCTTGGTTTTATTGTGCATGATTCATTGGTCCAAATACTTTTTTGACTTTGTATAACTAGCTCTTTCTCTGAAATGAATCTTCTTTTCTGCTGATTTTGACACTTTTTTTTTGTTGTTCATCTGGACTTTTGGATAATGTTACCAGGTCTGATTCAGGAGTTTTCTTGGCCCTCATGGCTAAGAATACTCAGCCCGTTCTCATCCTTTGGCGTCATACATGTGACGCTTTGGACATTTCGTTGAAATCTTACGCACATGGCATCCTTTAGCATCAATATGAGACGCAGAACCCAAGGCGTCATACAGGTGACGCTCGTCTAAATCCGAGGCACATGGCATCGTTTAGCGTCAATAAGAGACGCAGAACCCAAGGCGTCATAACCGTAACTCTACCCCAGACCTAAACCTACCCATAACAGTGCGTGTTATATTGACGCTAAAGGATGCCATGTGCGTAAGATTTCGACGAAATGTCATATGGCGTCACCTATATGACGCCAAAGGATGAGAATGCGTTGGAATACTAAATGTCACACCTGGTATGTTTTGACCATAACCACGCTTCTGTATTTTTTATGGAACTAAAGAAATATTGACATGCACTGCAACAGCAGCCAATTTAGAGTGTCATGGTGTAAATGTTTGTCTCTGAAAATCTTAGCTATCACAGCCCAGTGACTGAAACCAACTCGCTCTGCTATAGAAAATATATATTTTAAAATACTATATTATCTAAATTTAAGTTGGAATGCTTTTCCATATTTACTTGCAAATGTTTAAACATTAACATTTTGAGTTGATTTATTAAAAGAAAAGTATTATTATGCACACTTGAGTCTGCATAAAGATATTATATCATAAAAGTGATTTAATCGTTTTTTTTAATTTGCACTGATTGTAAATGATTTCCAAAGCAACAAACAAGTGAAATGATCTGACTAACTCCTCACCATCAAGGCAAAAGCCATACTTGGTAAATTGGTCAGCAAGCACTTGTACTTTTAGTAGAAGTTTAAAACGTAAAACCTAATTAATAATAAACAATTCACAATGTATATATGAACTTATTAAAGGAAGGCATTTACATATAAAATAGTGATTTTATTAGGGGGAAAAGGCTTTGGCTAAATAATGTATTTCCTCTTTGTAGCTATTTGGTATAGGCTTTATCCAATTTTTGGAGCTTATGTAACACAAGGCGTTCTCACTTGCAAATTCGCCAATGTTTACAAGGTTGTTTTTCTCATAAATGTCTCAGTCTCAGACAGCACAACCACAGTCTGTTCACTGACCGTCTGATGCATATTACAAAGTGTTTTGGGGGTCTTTTTTTCATCTACAGTACCAAGCTTTACTCTGATTGGTGAGCTTTACAGAACCTCCCGTAGTAAAGGCACAGGATTAGGTCTGTCTGGAAACAAAGATTATTTGTGTTTACAAGTGTCCGGTTTTATACAATGAATAGATAATTAATTAATCAGTGGATTTGATAAGGTTCGCCAGGTTCAAATGTACCCTGAAATTTGTTGGAAGATTTGTTAGATATAGAAGTGCATGTCTGTGAAAAAGTCAGTTTTTACATTTCAATTTTTGTTTTTGTTCCTCAAATAGGTATCATAGATAAACCTCTGATGATGTTGTGGTACAATGATGTTGTAATTAACTGAACTTTTTTCTCTCTCTTTGTCTTTTCTGTAGGTCCTCCGGTCATCGTGGGCATGAGTATAAATATTGCCAGTATTGACTCCATTTCTGAAGTCAACATGGTTAGTAACACTAATTTGGCATTACTTTTATTATTAATGTTAATGTTGCTGATTGTTGTTAGACTCTCAAAAAGCTGAACATCATGAATTGATCAGTAATATTTTAATTAGTATGGCTAATCAATCAATTATTTTAAATTCTTAGGAAATGTATATTAGGAAAAGCATCCAAATTAAGATAATTTAAAGAATCATCGGGGCTGACAAGTAAAGCGCTAAATATTTAGTTCTCTAATTAATTATATTGTTTGGAAAAACCAAAAACATGTTACTTTGTTTCTTGCATTTTCCTGTTTTTATAAAGTATACATATCTCTAGTAAATATAGTATTTTTTGAATAATTAATTAACACGTTTAACATCCTAAGTTTGCCTATTATGAATATTTTAGCTTTGGTTCCTGAGAAACATACTGTGTTTAAAAGCCGTTCTATTGAGTCTTCATGGTGTTCAGTAAGGAAATGATCAGTATGCATGATTATGTATAACTGCGGTCATGACCAATTATGTAGCACCAGTAGACCTTTTGGCTTTGGACCATCACCTCAAGTTAAACACCACCCTGGAGCCCTTAAAAAGCAGTTTACTTAAAGAGCAGTCATCTAAATTTCTGCTGACAACTCCCTATACATACTTACTGTGGAGTCCCCATGCAGACTTACTGCATTCATCATTTCTTCATGCAGAGTCAGGGACTTTGGTTTTATTAGTGCCTCGGCTTCAATGACTGCGGCCTGAATCCATAAAGTACCCCAGAGAAGAAGTGCTGGACTTGGAACCGTTTTCCTCGGGTTACTGTCAGATAATAATGGTTTGACAGCAGGAAATATGGTCCTAGATTAGATTTCGTATTGAGAAACTTGAGAATACACCTAGACAAAATACTGCTTGCTTGGTCTTAACGACTGCTTTTTGGTCCTAAGCAGAGTTTGAGTCCTTCCCTTTTTTTACATTGTACTTTTGAGACTAAACCGAACCGTGTTACGATTTCACTTTGGTAACCATATTACACTGAAAAACGACCATGCCATTTATAAAGCATTTATCATCAAACAAATGATCGTTTCCAGTTGAAATTTTGTTCAGGTTGGGTGAAAGCAAAGTCCCCATTGAAAAAAATCTAATAAACAATATTGTTTGAATAGTATTTTTCCTCGACACCACAGTGTTGATGTGTAGAACACATAATGGTTACTGGCTACAGAAATTATTGTGGGTTTTTTTGTTTGTTTATTTATGTACCTTTTGTTTTTTAGTACATAACAGAAAAGATGATGCATATTTTAAAAAGACATCACAATAAACATTAAGTTGTAAAAAGCCCCTATATACACATAAATATTGATCTACATTAACCTTAAAAAGGCAAGAGTGGAAAATCACTTTTTATATCATCTAGACCAGTGGTACTCAACCTTTTTGTACTCCAAGGCCCCCCTCCTTTCCGAATCAATACTGCAACCTTTTTTTTTTCACAAGAACATTTGTAGAGTTATTACTTTTCAAATCCATGTTATTTTTCAAACAAAATTAATTTAAGACAGAACCTTCTTTTTTGTAAACATACTTCGTAAAAATGTCACTGCAGACATTTTTTACAACTCAAATGCACTCACTCTGCTCTGCACTTACTAGCTAAACAAATAAGCACAAGTATGGCAACTAAACAAGACCATAGATAGATGTACTATACACTCCATTTAGATCCATTCAGAATTACTAAACACACCAAAATACAAAATGAAAAATAAAAACATCCTGATTGTGTGGAAACTCAGCGATCTGAAGGCGGGTCGATGGCATCAGTGAACATTTCCTCTGTCAGAACAAGCAATCGTGTCTATGTTTGGATTGTCTGATGCCCATGTGTACATAAGCACCACTGATTTAAATGTTTTCCAGTGTAGCAGCAGCTGTTTACCACTGTAGCTATGTAACAACTCAGCAGAGAGCTGTTGAAGTATTTGTCCCATTGAATTTACCACCAGAACTTTATACAGTCTGCCACTGATGCAAAAAAAGCCAGCTGCTTTCCGAACGTATTTTTTTTTTAAAGGGGACCTATTGTGTCACTTTTTACAAAATATAAATGTTCCCAGAGTGTGTATGTGAAGTTTTAGCTCAAAATACCCCACAGATCATTTTTATAGCATGTTGAAATTGCCTCTTTTTGGGGATAAGAAAAAACACAACTTTTTTGTGTGTATCCCTTTAAATTCAAATGAGCTGCTGCTCCCAGCCCCTTTCCAGAAGAGTGTGGAGCTTCAAAAGCTCATGCAACAACAAAACAGGACAATCTCACACACTGAAAATGTCAGAAACTGTCAGTAGTGTTCAGCCTTATATGTTCGTTCCGGAGTGGGACAATGATGCCAACAGAGCCAAAGAATATACGCTGCATGGAGATAGAACAGGCATAGTTTAGTTTATAACTTGTGTTGTCATCTTGCTTTTATCCACTATTAGTACAAGCCTGTTGTATGACAACCCCGTCCGAATGATGGCCAAAACTTTAACTGAGGAGTTTTATGAACTTTTTTGTACATCACAAAAAAGATGAAGCAAATGTTTTCACTCCAGAAATCACTGTAAGAGCTGAATAAAACACAGTACAAGAAGTGCGCATTAAAGTTTCATCCATAAACTCTCTCTCTCCCTTTCATTATCATCAACATAAACAGTGAATTACTCAAAAACACTTGTTACAACTAACAGTAAAAAAATATATACAGACATTATGCCTTTTCAGGGGGTGCTTAATAAACTGGTAAACTTTATATCGAATTACCTTCAAAAATAAAACTAATCCACTGCGTCTTCAACGGCTCTGATGTCGGGAGTACACGAAGACTGTAATGTTTACTCGTACATCCAACAACAAAACACCGGAGTTGCTTACAAGACATTCTTGTCGCTACAGCTGCTCTGGCCTGGAGAAAATGGCGGACAATGTACAACTCGCTCAGGGTGGGGTCTATGCGGCAGAGTCCATCAGAGTTTCTCTAGCTATCTACGTAAAAACCGGATGCAAATTGTAACAGCTTGCTGGATGACAGTTTCAGACTCAGACAGCCTTTAACAAACTGGCAGCATGTTTTATTTTCAGCTTTTCTGAGCTGGCTGACATACCAGAAACCGAACTAAATGCAAACAAAGCTTTAAAAAAGTGAAAATTTTATCCGATGTCCCCTTTAAGAGACCAGCAGTATTGAGAAATTCACTATATATAGTAAATTATACGTCATACATAGCATTTTTCTGTCATAATGTAGCAATTATTAGGAGGGAAACCCAAGGCCACATCAACTCTATGGGTGAACTTGTGTGTGGTTCGCAACCTTAAGACCCTCTGTGTAAACTAGATGACTGAACTTATGGCACTTCTGGGGACTTAAGTTCCCAGAGGCCCCTGAGGCATACAGTCATCACAGGCAGCAGTCTTCACCTGACTAAAATAAACCTATTCTAGCAGATGTGTGAACAGAAGACACTGTGCTCAGAATACATTAGCTCCTTGTTTTTCAGAAACAATTTCAAATTTTTTCCCCAGAAAAAGTCGTTACTAAACGGTTCTTTCAAATGGGTACTTTGAAGAGTATTAAGCGAGATCATTTTACAGCTCTGACATTTCTCACTGTCCAGTTTTGCCTCTGAGAAAAAACGGTTGATGAGACATTCAAAGGGGATTTGAAAATTGTCTGGTTAAATATATGCTTTATTCAAGTGTTCCTGGCTAGGAAGTCCCTAGAACTCGTTAGTATGCTGTGATATGTGTTTGAGTGATTTTGGGCATATATATATATATATATTATTTTTTTCACTTTAGGAAGTTCTTTTTTAGCGCAAGTACATCAAAATGAAGAGAAAAAGATGCCAAGATCAAGAATATGGTCATGCAGAACAAGACATTAATATGTGCTTTATAAGTAATAATAAACAGCCAATATGCTTGTAATATGCATGCTAATAAGCAACTAGTTAAAGGTGAATAGTGTTCCCTAATCTAAAGTGTTACCAAATATTTGTGCTATAAATCTGTTAGTCTGCATTTACATTGCTTAATGTGTATCTATTTTGACATGCCATATTTTTGTCCCATGCTATGGTTATTAATATGTCAGTCATTGCAAATTCGAGAGGGAATCCAGTGTTCATATGTGGATTTCACTTCCGAAACATTACGCAGCGTGTAACTGGTTTTTGGTCCTCTAAGCAGCATAAACAAATTAAATTTTATTCAATAGATTATATAGCCTTGTAAGCATGCAAAGAGTGCTCCCATTATAATTACTAAAAACTGTCGCTCATCTCAGTTCATTGCGATTTTACAAAGTACAAAATAATCAATGAAGCTGTCTACATTGCATAATGAATCTCTTACTTACATTGTGTCTACATTTGTAGAACAAAGAAAAGAAAAATATAGAAACGTCCCTTTTTCAGGATACTGTATTTTAAAGATAACTTTAAAAATCCAAATAATTTTTACAGATCTTTATTGGAAAAGATTACAAGACACTAACAGTTTACAGGCGGTAGACAATTAAGCTCACTGTTTAAATAACTTAGGACATTAAATATACCTTTCCACTGACTCTAAAATACACCAGAAGAATGATGGCCAGGGTCCCTAATCAAGTGTGTGAACATGCAATAGTCCTGTTGCAAGGAGGTATGAGCCCTGCAGATATGGCCAGAGCAATGCGATGTTCGTAATGTGAGACTACAGTGCTAAAGACAGGATGGTTAGCTGACTGTCCTTGCAGTGCCAAACCATGTGTAAATATGTCCCCCCAGATGTGTTTGAGAACTTTCAAGTGCCTTGGTGGAAGAGTGGGGTAACATCTCACAACAGTAACTGGCAAATCTGGTGCAGACGATGAGAATGAGATGCACTATAATCACAGAATCATTATTCCATTTCTGTTTGTCAAATGTCATTGAAACTTCTTCAGTTTGTGTCTCAGTTGATAAATATTTTTATGTTCATTCAAATATCTTTTTTGCTCAGTATATTTTCAGGCTCTATTTGGTACCTTGTTTGTGGAAAGTGTATTTTATTTAACAGAGATATTAGAAAAAGAGAGTCATAAAATGATAGATATCAGAGACAAAAAGCAAGAGAGATTGTGGAGAGAGACACAGAGATCTGATGCTATGTTTTCTTCCAACTGCAATCCCTACATATATGGGCACTGGAGAATTTCCATCCTTTTCCAGGCAGAAGATTTTTATTTTTATTTGTTCAAAGTATTCACTCCAGTATGAGGTTGTTTTCCTTTACTTTTTTCACATTCTCCTTTACTTTTTTTCCACATTCATGAGATGTACATCCGAGAGTAACGTATTACTGACAAAGAAAATTTGTAGGGTGGAGTTCTTGGTTCCATGCATTGATTTTGATTGGATTTTGAGATGTGGCCGTTGCTCTAAAAAAGTGGAGGCAAATGAAAGTGAGCTTGCAGGGGAAAGCAGACCAAATGATTGGAGAAGCCCTGCATATTTTATGGAACCAGAGAGAAGTTTTCAGCATTATGTCCAGTTTGATTAAACATCACAAGGTCAAATACTTTTGAAAAAAGTACATATATGCACAGATTAATTATTCACAATAACATGTATGAAGAATATGAATAAAAAGGGTGAATTTCCTTTCCATAATCAAGTACGTCTCAGGTTACTGTAAACCTGGTTCCCTTAGAAGGGAAACAAGGCACTGCATCTTGGTATTGATGCTATGGGGAACGCCATCAATGTGACCACTGTCTGAGGCACGAGTAAACAAACAGCAATAATCATTGGGAGATGGCAGTCCTTGACGTCACATGGGTAATGCCTGTGAGTATAAAAGGGTGTCTGAGTTACACGTCATCAACACTTTTGTCTGAGGGAGATGCGCAGGCAGGCCCGCGTTATGGCAATGAGACATAGCATATCATCCCCCTTCTCAGGCAACCAGGGTTACAGTCTAAACCTGAGATGTTTCCTTTCGAAGTGGAACTTTGATGCTGTGTCTTGGTATTTATGCTATGGGGAACCAATATCCACTATGGCATGCTGTGGGGATGCCTGCCTCCCTAGGCTGTGAATATTCACAAACGTAGTGGGCATGACATAAATTGACTATGGATTACCCAGCCGGAGAAGCATGTCAACCTCATGGGTGCATCCCATGTGACTCATATAGTGGTGCTATAAACCAATACTCCCCGATACTAGGAAAGATCCCCAAGATTCTGTGCTCTACAGCAAGGGAAGTCCTGGCGGTTACACCTGCCCCCCTTCCTTGCAGGATAGGTCTCAGTCCTAAATGGCCCCAAGAGCAGAGCTCTAAGGGAAAAATCCACAACATAGCCCCAGCTATGTAAGGCTTATCTCACCAGAATTTGACAAGAGTCTTATGGTGCAGCCTGCTGCGGGGGAGCTTCTACTTTTTGTTTTACTTTTACACCTCTAGTCATCAGTTTTAACCACTGATCATCCCTATGGATGGCCAACACCTTACAATGAATGCATTCAGCTCCCTCGAGAGTCAAACACTAGATTCTTATCTCTCCAGACAGAATCGAGAAATAACAGAGGCTCTTACTGTGAATGCATTGCCATGAGTACCTCCAACTCCCTCAAGAGCCAAACACGTTCCGTGCAAATGCAAGATTTTTATTCCTCGTGAGAAAATTAAGCAAGAACAGAGCTTCTCACTGCAAGCTGCCGCTTGATTGCACGGTTTGTCACGGGAACTCAGCGCGTCGTGCGGCACTCTAGATGCGCGGTCGAGACTTGAGTACCTCACACAAGGTAGTCTCTTTGCCTATTCCCCAATCTAGTTCCTCTTCTGGTGGCCACCAGAAAAGGGCTACTTTAGCTAATAGCACTGGTAATCTGAGGATTACAGTAAGCGTTCTCCTTGCGACAGTCCCTCCCTGGCACATTCCTCTGAGGAAGGACCTGCTTTCTCAGAGACAAGGCATCTTATGGCACCCACGTCCAGACCTCTGGAAACTCTGGTGAAAGTGATCCTCTATACCCTCTATACCCTCACTAAAGACAGTGCTCCTGACGACAATGGCTTCCATCAAGAGTGTAGGGGATCTGCAAGCATTTTCGGTTGACAAATCTTGCCTAGAATTCGGACCAGATGACTCTCACGTTGTCCTGAGACCCCGTCCCGGATATGTGCCCAAGGTTCCTACCATGCCCTATAGAGACCAGGTAGTAAACCTGCAAGCGCTGCCCTCGGAGGAGGCAGACCCAGCCCTGGCTTTTCTCTGTCCCGTCCGCTCCTTGCAGTTATACGTGGACAGAACATAAAACTTTAGGACCTCAGACCAGCTCTTTGTCTGTTACGGAGGCCAGAAGAAGGGAAAGGCTGTCTCCAAGCAGAGGTTAGCCCACTGGATAGTGGATGCAATTGTCTTGGCGTATCAATCCCAAGACAAGCCTTGCCCATTCGGGTTGCAAGCACACTCAACTAGAAGTGTTGCTTCCTCCTGGGTGTTTGCCCAAGGCGCCTCGCTGACAGCTGCGGGCTGGGCGACACCCAACACGTTCACTGGATTCTAAAGCCTTCGTGTAGAGCCGGTATCCTCCCGTATACTCGCCCCAAGTGGCCAGTAGCGCGGGGAACCCGCTCAAGTGTCGGCTTGCTACTCCATTCTCGACTGGTCGGCCAGATACGTGCGTCTATTTGCTCCAGTGTGTTCCCCGGAGACGGCTAACCCTGTTGAGTTCCTCCGTCACCCCTACAGCAGTCAGACTTTGTGGAGCATTTGACGCCAGGCCTAACACTTGTATGCATTGAGGAACCTGTGCTAGGCTGGGTGTCCATGTGTAGCGGTCCCTGCAGCGACCCCATTTGATTATTTTCCACGGTACGGCTACCCTATCAGCTAGCCAGTGTTTTTGCCTTGGCAGAGCCCGCTTTACTATCTCTGCTGGTGTGCTTCCCCCCTAGGATTAGGCTGAAACCACCCCAGATACTTCCATATGTCATACTATCCTCCTTGGCTAGTCCATATGTGTATTCTCCACAGGTTACCTCCCTTTGGGTAGGTCGTGGCTTCCACAGCGTTCTCCTTCAGGTGGGAAGGGCACGCTTTCCCAGTGTTATCCAATGTTCTCACTGAGTGGGTCTTGCGGAACATCAGTGACCAGGACTCCCTGCATAAGCTTCTGCCCCTAACTAAGGGAGAGAAGTGAGGCTTATGCAGGGCACTGGAAGGGCCAACAACATGGCGTGTTGGTAGGGATCCCATTCAAGTCGGATACCTCTGACGAACATAGGATTGACCGACATGAAAGGGAACGTCTCGGTTACGTATGGTAACCCACGTTCCCTGAAAGAGGGAACGGAGACATTCGTCCCGTCACCATGTTGTTGTACCATCGCTGCAGACGGTTGGGTCCCTGGCTCGGCTCCTCAGCGAAATGCTGCTCATTATATACCCGCGCAGCGTGATAGAAGCAGTCATTTGACAGTGGTAGTAAGTAGCCAGCCTCACTGTCAGAATATTTTAATTTAAGTCTATAATAATATAATAATTATAAATTAAATAATTGTTGCCAATGGCTATGAGCTTGCATTATTCATATATTTGTTCCAAGTAAAATAGTTGTACACAGCTGTAAATTATTAAGTTGGGTATCACTTTTCTAAGTAAATACAATACTTTTACTTTTTAGGGTAGCTTTTTCTTATTTATTGAAACTGTTATGTGTTTCATAATTTGTTTATGATTATTTGTTTATAAGTCATCAACTGTACAAAATATATGAAATTGCCCTATGAAATATTTTATTGCTTCTATTAACAGGGGCCTTGCCATGTGGATGAATATGAAGTCAAACTCTTTGTTAATAGTTTCCTTGAATCATCCAGCACATCTAAATGTAGGCTTATTACAGTAGACTAGTTTCTATGCAGAATGCTGTATTATAAGAGATGCCGTTCCAGTTTTCAGTTAGTGTTGAAGCAGCGATGAGTCATGTCAGTGGATCTTTAGAGTGGCCTCCTTAGCCAATCGTATTTGCCCTACATACAAAAGTCACTGCTCAAATTGACCTAATCCTATCAAAGCAGTATATTTTTGCTGCTTAATTAATATCAAAATTGGTACACATCTTAATCCATTTTATAATGTTTGCATTGCCTTCTCATTCAATAAAAAAATGTTTTATAATGACTTTGCCGTCCTAGATGTTACAATGCTGTCAAACCAGATCAAACAAATATAAAGTTTCTTATTTATTATCCTGTAATTAATTTGAAACATAATACTCAATTAGGGGTGATGTTATAAAATAAAAATGTATAATTATCGTGTAAGAGTAAATACAGTCAGAGTAAATTATATTAAAATCAATAACATGACGAAATGTTGACTAAATTTAAAGTACATTTTCTTTGAAAGGAAAAAATCTATGTCTGAAAATAATAATAATAATAAATACTTTGAATACACCTTAATTCTCAATCTCAATACTATTTCTGTGCTCTGTGCAGGACTACACCATCACCATGTATTTCCAACAAAGCTGGAGGGACAAACGGTTGGCCTACGCTGAGATGGCTTTGAATCTCACTTTGGACAACCGTGTGGCTGATCAGTTATGGCTCCCAGACACCTACTTCCTGAATGACAAGAAGTCTTTCCTGCACGGTGTGACAGTGAAGAACCGAATGATTAGGCTCCACCCAGATGGCACTGTTCTTTATGGACTGAGGTAAATGCCACTGCCTATGTAACATCACTGCTACCTATGTGTATTGTGCTGTATAATGTCAGATTTTCCAATAACACTGCAAACCACAGTCTTAAAGTCCACTGGAAATCAGAAACGACCCTTAGCGCACATTACTAGTCATGTGGTGAACTGCCTGATTTACAGTCATTTAGCCTGAACTTTGCAGCCATTTTGTGTGACATCATTCTTGTGTTTATTGTTGATATCAGTATCAAAGTTCTTAGTTTAACTGTACTTATAAGTTAAACTTCAAGTCACACTTGCTATCACATTGAGGACAAGGTTAGCTATGGGAAAGCTTCTATTTGGGGTGTGTGAAAGATATGTGTTAATGGTTCACAGCACTGACAGACTGTGTTGAAAATCAAGGCGCTAATGATATTGGGTGGAAAGTGTGAAGAAGCTTTGCCTTTTTTGAGTTACAGCCCCGCTTCAAACTTCGTTATTGATTTGGCCAAAGTAAGGTGGTCCCTTACTCTCAGAAAACATAAAACTGCATATAACAAATTAGTCACAACTGTTTCCTGAAACTGTAACACGGTGGCACCTTGCAATATAGGAATCTTCTGAAAAAGTACTGAATCTCATGAACAAAACACATATAAAGGAAGATGCAGAAACAAACAATATAATATGTAATCATATGCATAAATAATGCGATCATCAACATTAAACAGCATATAAATCAAAACTGCCCAATGTTACTGAATGAAATGTCGAACCAGGACGAGCTACGGGACTGTGCAACCTTAGTGTTGATGGACTCGATCTACTCCATCTATGTTTTTAACATCGTTCTGAATCCGATCCTGATGTAGTCTTTGACAAAATGTGATTTTCTCAGCTTTTTGCTCCAAATGATGCTTTTTTAATGAAACGTACCCACATTCAAGTTTTGATTAAAAAAGAATGCATGAATGATTTATTTGTTGGTAACACTTTATTTTGATGTCCCCTTTGAACATACTACTAACTAGAAGTGACGTTGCAACTACATGTCAACTAACTCTCAGAGTATTAGTAGACTGTCTGCTTAATATTTGCTAACTCTTTATTGTGATGCTCCTTCAACAAACATTCTACTGACTGTAAGTAACTCTGAAACTACATGTCAACTTATTCTAACCCTGACCCTACCAGTCTACTAATACTCTACTAACACTCTAACTGTACGTTCACACCGCCGCCGGCTTGAGCTTCCAAAGCGGCCGGAAGTCATTCATTTTCAATGGAAGCTGGCTTTTCTCAGCTGCAAGGAGCGTCAAATCCATCGGCGTCACGTTTTGGGCGTTTTGAGCGTCAATCAGAAAGTTGAAAGAAGCTCAACTTTATGGTAATGAGCTGTGACGCGGTTCAGCGGCAAGCAGCGGAAAAACGCCAGCAACCAATCGGAATATAGACGTCCTTCGCACTGGCTGATTCCGGAGAAACATACAATGTAAACTTTCGTTCCTACCAAAACATTAGTTCCGAGAAAATGGAAGAGAAGCTAATAATCGCCGTTGATGGGTTTCCTATCATTTATGACATGACGTTGTTTGCTTATAGGGACCGCATGAGCGCAACTTTTATTTGAAATATTTATGAACGCTCGTTTTAAAGCGGGAATGCAATTAATTTGCTCACGGTGACACCGATTTGACCGCAAATAATAATAAGAATAGCTAACTATTCTTTTTTTCCCGACCAAATGTGACCAAAACGGTTATAAAAATGCTGTCATTATAAAAGGTTTCTTCAAATGTATTGCTTGTGTTTTTCTGTTTATTACATTTCATGTTGTGACACTTCTATTCTCCCTGCAACGTCAGAGCGTTCAAAGCGTCCAAAGCGTCAACATGCTTCCCTGTACTTTTTGACAAGCGTCCTTGACAGGGCGGCCAGAGCTTCTTTGCAAGTCGGCGGCAGTGTGAACGTACAGTAATGAGAGTTAGTTGACATAGTTGCAAAGTTACTTATAGACAACAGAATGTGTTAAAGGGAACATCAAAATAAAGTGAAACCTATTTGTTTGTTGTTGTTTAAAAGCAGAGGGACTGTTCTTTTGACATTTTGCATGTTCAGATATTCATACAACAAAATATTCTGGGGGCCATACAATTTTTTGTGAAAATGATCAAAAATGCTGGTGGTGACTGGCAACTTTATAAAAAAACGCTGGTGGGGAAAGGGTAATTAATCGATTCAAGATCGCCATTAATGTCAGATTTTTATATTTAATTTACACAAAACAACAAAGCCGGTATTTTTTTTAACCATCCAGTGTAGACAGCATTTTAATGGGTTCTGTTTGCTTTTGATGCACCATATTGTGCTGGTCACGTCCAGTGTGGACGCAGTGTAATAATCTAAAATTCAGTAAACTTATTAACTTAACAAAAAAAAAATTTCTCTGAACTTTTCAGCTAGATGGAACACAATGGAACAAACTGAGACAAGTTTTGAAGGTTTGACTATTGTCAGCTCAACACACGGGGCCCTATTTTAATGATCTAAGCGCATAGTCCAATGCGCACGGCGCAAGTGCACTTAGGGCGAGTCCGAATCCTTTTTGCTAGTTTTTGGTTTGTTCCTATTCTCTTAATGAGTAATGGGTGTGTTTTGGGGGTAATGGGTGTGTTTTGGGCATAATGTGTAGTAAATCAATCCGAGTCTTATCTCCCATTCCATTTAAAAGCCAGTTGCGCTCGCACCATGAAGGATTCGCTATTTATTTTTTATATTCGCTATATGACGGAATTTGCAAGCGGAAAGACTGAGCGCTTCTCTAGCGAGGAAACGGATCTGATCGTGCGCGAGGTTAAAGCGCTCAAGCAGATTATCTACGGGACAAGCCGGATTCCACCATATCTTTTTTAATATTTGGCATTTTTGTGTGCTACTGCACACTGTGTGTGTGTAATAAGCAGAGTGTATGCGCGTTGTGCACCCGCCTATAGGCTCATATTACTAACGTGCTCTTTAAATAACAAAAAAAAAAATATTGCACCATTGACTTTAGACCAGTTTTCAATTGGTTAATGGCGCAGTCTATTTCAGTTGCCTCAAAATAGCAACACGCCAACAATGCGCCTGAACACACCTCATCACAAATGGGCGCAAATGCATTTTCTATTTAAACAACGTGGCGCAGGACGTGAAAATGATAACTGTGTCGGGCTGAAACTAGCAAAAAACACTTGCGTCGCACCTGGCGCCGCATTGCACCGGGTGTATGATAGGGTCCACAGTCTTAAAAATGCAACACTTAGATTGTATGCTCTAAAAATCATGCAAAACATGACGCAATGGCCAAAAGCTGTAGCGGTAGGGGTGTAACGATTCATTCGTTTTCTCGATGCATCGATTACAAATCCTGATGATGCATATGCATCGATCTTGAAACATGTATTTCGAATTGTGAATCGTTTATTTCGGTCAATATTCGATTTAAAATGCTAAGAATCGAATAATTTGCGATTCTATATCGATTCAGTGCTTTAAAACATAAAAACAGTCATTAAATGACTACATGCGCGAATTAATGAGGCGTTGTGCGGCGTCATTTCGCGTCCTCACAGCTCTCACATACTCGCTGCACTCTTTACCATCTTTCACTGGATTTCGCTCGCGCTCGGTCCCATATAGCTCTCATCTACAGATTTTTGAGCAGTCCATGTTTGAGCTCTCCTCAGGACAGCCATTGGTGTTCACATGAGCAGATGACAGCTCTCTATCGAGAAAGCAAGCCATTGATAAAGCTGCCATATCATTGCGCGGTCACTGCTATGAAACAACGCGTTCGTTGCGTGGAAACGTCACCGTTATTTTCTTTAAGATAAGATACTGAAGTTTTACGGAAATGGGTCATACCCGTCCTGAGCAGTTAAAGTAAAACCCCACTTATTCAAGGGTGCGCATTTATTTTAATGGAAAGAGAAAACGTATAATAGGTCTCTAAAATGTACACCGATTAATCATGAATGATGAATGAAATGTAACTTAATGTCGTTAAACTGAACTGATGAAATAACTACAACATTAATTACACTGAAATAAGAGCGTGTGGTTTATCCATCAATCAGATGCGCATAGCACAAGTAGACAGCCGGCGCGTTTTCTTTCAGAATCACAAGGAAAATGTTCAGTCGGATAAAGAGAAAACAAAGAGTATAGCTATTCCATGAGGAAACGTTAGTTAAGGTTTTAGTTGGGAAAGTTCATGGTATTTTTAGTCTCACAATGGAAGGATGTTTAATGTAGGAACACTTTAAGGTTGTGTATCCATTCCTACAAAATAGTTAGCATGATGAACTATACTTTTAAAGCCTTTTTAAATCTTGGTTTACATTTTTACAAATGCTAATTTATAGGCTTTGGAAATATTTTTTATAAGAATAGATTCATTAAAAACTAACATGAACTAACGTTAACAATAGACAAAATGTCGTTGTTTTTTTTTTCTTTCTTTTTGTTCCCACTCTCTGACCCCCGAAGCCAGCTGTATAATTCACACCCTGACTAAGACCCATTGGGGGAAGCATTTAAATAATCCTATGAATGCATATAAAAAATTAAGAATCGAATCGAATTAATCGAATCGCATCGAATTTTAATGTGAATCGCATCGAATCGAATCTTTCTGAATTTGCAAAAATCGTTCTTGAATCGAATCGAAAACCTATGAATCGTGGATCGAATCGATTCACTGCCTACCCAAAGATTCACAGCCCTATGTAGCGGTGATGGATAAAATATCAATACTACAGAGACTAAAAGTAAAAAAAACAATCTAGCTTGGTTGCTGGACGTCTAAGCAAATAGTCAACTATAATAACTCACCCCCAAATCACCTCTAAACGGTTACACATAAGATGGAACGTCTACAAACTGTTGTCTCAGATGGCGTCCTCTTTTGGACAAACAAAGGCACGGGTATAAAAATAAACACTCTCCCTCCTGACTCTGCTATGCATTAACCCAGAGCTGATCCTGCAAGG